AATCTCAGAAGCAAAAAGAGGATCCAGAAGAATCTTACTGAGGAACAATGAGGAAAAAACTGCTCATTTAAGTAGAACAAAAGCTGGAGTCCTCAAGAAACTCTCCAAGTGGCTTCCACATCCAACCAATATTTTCTCTAGCACATATGGAATGAGCCTCCGCCAACTTCCTCCTCCAGACATTCCTGTTTCTGACTATCCTTAGAAAGAAGGAAGACAGCTAATTCAAGGAAGCTCGTGCATACTTACGGGAGTCACCGGGCTTGGAGGGACAGTCTCACCATCCAGTTTTCCTGACTCAGCGGATTACTGCAGGTAAGCTCAGCCCGACACGTCCGCAGGTACGCTCTTAGCTCACAGCAGATGCAAGGTAATATCACTTACGCTCAGTCCTCTAAGGACAGAAAACATGAAAACTGAAATTTCTGACACGCGCAAAGGAAGGAAAGAGGAATCTGAGCGGCCATAGGTGACACAGGGGTGGAGATGAAGCCTGGTCTGCAAAAAAGACGTCAACAAGGTGGAATTCCCGTTCCATACAAGCCCAACTCTTACAGTCAGCACCAAAGTCACACCAGTTTAGGAACAGACCAAATAACTTGGGCTGAAGCACGATGCCAGCAATTCGGATTCGCCTGAGTATGTCCAAAGAAAATGCTCAGCCTAAGTATTTCCCTGCAGACCGTTTTCTGCCCTTCTCTCCCTCCTGCTGCAGCAAACCTCAAGTTCTCCTTTAAGAAACGACTTGCTGCAAAATTAAAGCTAATGAGACTCCTTGCAGAGATTAAACCCATTTCAACCTCAACATCTTGAGGCTCAGACAACTCTTTAAAACCAAGAATTTTCAGTTCACATTCTGCCACAGAAGATTTTCTGAGGACAACTGCCCTCCTCTCCTCCTCCATGCCCGTCCAGCCAGCAGCACAGAGTTGGTGTTCGTCTCTGCTGCTGCAGGGAAGGGCACACTGATTTAGCTCACCTTATCACCGAAACGCGTTCATGCCGAGACGTTTGACTCCGGAGTGGAAGGGCCGGGCATGCACTACTTGCCAGAGCTCATCTGTCGGTGCCTCTAGGCCCAGATACGCGAAGTCCGGAGGGTACTCAACTCTGCTGAAATAGAGGGGTAAATACTGCCTGAGCTGAACCCAGCCATAAACCTCACCAGATTTTAATGGCATTTACACCCCGGCTGATACAATATGCCCAGGGGCCTTAGCCACTTCTGGATATTTAACTGAAAATTCAGACACAATTTTGCAGACAACTTCCTACCCGTCGATATAATTTCTTGGGTTTGGTTTAGAGAGAATCCTGCAGTTAGCACAATTCCAGCTGGGAAGGAACACGTTTGCGGTCTTCCTCTCCCAGGGCCTAGAAATATCAAGAAACATAATGATTTTAAATATTTTAAAAACTGTGTGTCCACAGCAACGACTGCATTTTAAAACTTTGATGGCCATTTATTATTTACAAGAGCATGTGAAAGGGTAAATTTCAGATCACAGCAACCTGTACGTTAATTGCCAAGAATTTGTTTTAAGATGTGGGTTGAAGGCCTCTGAGAGGGATTTGGAAGAGAAGAGGACGTCCTAAAAAGCGAAGCCAAATTTTCCCTGGTGCGTTGTACAGGTACAACCCCATCTTGCTGCGCGTTCATGGAAATCAAGGCAGTTAGAAAAAGGAAATACAAATGCCTTGAAGCCTGAAAAGCAATCTCTGACCCGAAGTTTGTGTTTGTGTGGCGGGTTGTCACATCGTGGTCAATCCCAACCACTGAATTCCCACATGCGTGAAGCAGCAGCCCTTTGGCAGCACATATTTTATACACCTCTCTTTCCTGAAACCCCACAGTTTTCCATTTGTACGACACTTTACTGCCTCTTCATTACAGAGCCAGGAAGCAACGCTGATGGATTAGCATCGTGTCCAAGCCAGAAACTGGCACCCTCTCAGAATCAAGCCATTTACAACAACTGCTAAGTAAATTGGGCTACTTTTTTTAGTTCCTACTCTCCCTTTTTTTAAAAAAATAAATCTTAAGAAAACACAATCCCAAAGGCCTAACAGGCACACATTTACAGATGGCAGCAGTGGGTCATAAATGACATCTTTTCCTGATACTATTTATGAGAGCCAAATAAACAGAACATATTATGAGCCATTTATAACATTCAGAACAGTCAGCCAAGAGACAGAGCTGAAAGCCTGTTGTAACAAAAGGTATCAAAGTGAGGAGGAGAAGAGTGTCTATAATTACTACTACGGTGATAAAACAAGCATAGTGCAGCAGATGGATTTAACACAAGATCACTATTAAATACAACGCTGGCTCGAATGCCAAGGAATGAATACTCAACAGGGAGCGAAGCGAGTTAAAGTGTATGAAGGCAGCAAACGTAGCTCAGCTAACCTAGAAGTTACTCGCAGCTCTACCCAAAAAGACCCAAACCCACACAATTCTCCACACAGGTCAATCAGACCCTCTGCAGTCCAAAACTCTCCGGGTGTAATCGATGCTCACACAAATGGCAGGATTGAGCCCACTGATGGCACAGGATCCTGACCACGTAACACTGACAAAAACTCAAATCGAAAACAAACCCAAAATTAACAATTATCAATCTGCAGCGCTTTTTCACTTACCACTTCATAAAACTTTTCAGTTCTTCATCAGAAACACAATCTAGTTCCTCTTTTTGGCAACTTCATAGCTGTAGAACATTGTTTGACAAAACATGAGCCAAGTTACAACCTAAAAAAAGGGTTTCTCTTCATTTTTATAAGTTTTGAAACATATTTTACGGTCAGAAGTAAGGCCAAAATTTCATACTGGAAAACTGGAAACCTGCGCTTTAAGGCTTATCAAACGACTAATACGTATTTAATGGATAATTAATACATATTTAACGGATGGCCCTTGGAGACTGGTAACCTACAGTTTACTAATTTAGACAGGGATGAGTAAGTAACCTTAAGGTGTGGCTCCTCCTTTATCTTATCACTACACTCATATGTACGCTTTGTATGGAAAACTTTATTCGATAATAAAAATAGCATTCACAGACTTTCTCCTTCTTTGTTGCTACATCATATACATAGTGTCTGTTCCACGGAAAAAAGCTCGTACTGGGTAAGTCCACATCTACTCATCCTAGTGTTATGTATAAACCCAATAAATCAAATAAAGCTATGAACAATGTAGTATTTATATATGCATAGTGTTTTATAAAAAAGAGTGGCCCACATACTGCTTTTCATCAACACAGGAAAGAGCATGATGGCTATAGCACATTGCAAGAATTGATGATTGAAGATCATAGACTGCACACAAGTGCTTAATAATACATAAGCAGGCCCACCATGAAGAAAGAAATGATATTCAAACCAACAAAAGCTTTAGAATTACTTATATAGTCTCCCATTTTAAAACAGCTTTACATACCTGATTCAGTTTACATTAAAATATATCCCCTGAATCAATTTGTTCCATTTTCAGAAATATAAACACTTCATCACATTCCTCACAGCTAAATTTTGTCATAAATCCTCTTTTATACAAGAAAAAGGCAACAGTTTTGTGTTTTTTTTCCAACAGGCTCTATTAATTACAAGTTAAACTGTACACACAATGACCGGCCATCTCCTTTCTTGGTTTTGTTTTTACAGTACCATGGCAACAACAGTGATAGACTTGCAATGTTCTCGTGTTCGTATGGAAAATGTGGAACAGCATACATGTACACACCAACGCACGGTAAGAAGCAGCAGTTTACTTTAGTGGTCCAACAGTAACGGCAAACGTTTTGGCTCAGCTAGGCAGTAATCCGTTAAAATCTTCTACCGGTGCTACAGCAGACTTACCACACAACTTGCAAATTTAAAAATACAACTTAGAAACTTGCAGGTTTCCCTTTCGCTGCTGTTCTGAGATTCAAATTTACAGCATATAAGTATGGATAGGCTTCTACAACCAGGTTGTCCCACCGATTGCCTCTTTTTGCCCGTGTTTTCCCTTTGATACATCCTCCCCTCCCTCCCCTCCACCCCCCCTCAGCGAGTGCACTCCTTCTGTCTCAGTAAGGATAAACCAGCAAAATAAAAGAACTTAAATACAGAGCGCGGAGAGAGCTTTTGGAATCTGGCAAACGAAGAAAAGCCCACTGGTTCTGCCTGAGCAGAAGGAATGCACCTACTCCGAGAGGGAGGACTTCGCTCCCCCCGCATTGTGCCTTGTCCCAGGATCCCGATCCCTTCCCTGGCTTCAAAGCAGACAAACAATACCATGCATGCTCGGGTTGCTGTCCGTATACAATCTAGAGGATGAGCAGGGCTGCGGCGGCTGCCTTAATGAAACATCGTTACATGTCGCTGAGGCTAATGAGAGCTCGAGAGTCTACGTTAGCGCGTGACACAGGCATGGTGCTGACCAGTCCTCCCGCCTCGGAGCATCCTGTAGTGGGGGCCTGAAAATACAAACTGTTCACGGAACAAACTAGAAATTCCTTATCGTAAATCATCTTGTGCTGTGTGGGTTTGTTATTTTTTTTTTGTTTGCTTTTAATTTTTTATTATTATTATAAATATCCTTCATCGAAACAGTAGTCTCTTCAAACAGTTCTTGCAATTTTAAGAACATTTGTCTTTTTCTTTTTTAA